ATATATATTTAAAATATTTATAGAATGATTATTTTTAACATGTTTATAAAAATTCAAAATGATATTCAAACCAAAAAAGAGATTTAAAGGAACTGAATAGAACTTACAGAATGAAATTTAGTGTTGTTAAAAGTTAAAATGCCAGGAACAGCCCAAACAGTAGATTAGAAACAAGTGAGGAAAAATTTGTGGTTTCCAAGAGAAATGTGAAAAAACAACAACAACAACAAAAAACAGAAAATACTACACACAGAGACCAAGATATAGAAAATATGAAACATGTTGAGTCATGGAAGATAGAGAAGACCTCATTAGATTTCCAGAAGAAGAAAACAGATACAAATAATGAAACCTAATGTCAAAAGAGATAATAACTAAGAGTTTTCCAGTATCGAATTAATAAAAAAAAAACCAGAATTTTCAAATTCAGGATACACAGGCAATCCTAAGCCAGAATAATAAAAAGAAATCCATATTTAGATGCACAACAGTGAAACTACAAAACACTGATGATAAAGAGATGATCTTAAAAGCAGTCAGGAAGAAAAGACAGATTACTCACCAGGGAATAACACCTGTACCGACAGTAGAATTCTTAACAACAATGATGAAGGCCAAAATACATGGAATATCTTGAAAATGTTGAAGGAAAATAACTGTTTAGATTTACTTATCCAGAAAAAAACATATTTTTAACAAATGAGGAGAAACTAAAGAACTTTCCTCTAGACGAACAAAAACTGAGAGCTTATTACTAATAAATACAGAACCTCACTACATAAACTCTTGAACAAAACTGAAAAATGAGGAAGGGAAGGACACTGATCTCAAGAGGAAGGTCTAAGTTTCAAGAAGAAATACTGAACAAAAAAAATTGGTAATATAGGGATAAACTCTTATAAACCATTATAGTAATATCTAGTTTGGAGAATGGTTTTTAAAAAATTGTAGTCTCCATCCCAAGATGGAAGATGAAGTAATAGGAGTTAAAATGTCCTAAGATATTTTAATTCTTTAGGTAAAATAATATTGAATAACTAGATTTCAAGCATAAATATTGAAGGGGAATCTCAAAAGAATAGAAATGGAGTGTGTAATTTCCAGTACAATTAAAATAGAACTTTTCAAGCTCGCTAAGTCAAAAAGGAAGGGAAAAACTGATAACCACAGAAAAATCAGGATAAATATAAATGATTATATATTAATATTTAAATATTATATCAAATATATAAACATAACAATAAATATTAAAATTGTCACAATTTCTTAACCCAGATATATGATATATAATAAATCCTATACACACAACAGTAGGAATGTACCACTGAACTGTACATTTAAAAATGGTTAAAATGGTCAATTTCACATTATGAATGATTACAAAAAAATATTTTTAATTATAAGGCATTCAAAGAAACAGGAAAATACCATCCACAATGAGTAAAAAAGACATTCAGTTAAACCAACTCAAAACTGACACAGATGAAAGATACAGTGAACAAGGACACTAAAAATCATTATAAAATTACTATCATCCATATATTCCAAAGGTTAATTCAACATATGGAGGGCATTAACTAAACCAAAATCAGATTTCTAAAAATGAATACTACATATGTGAGGTGAAAAATACACTGAATAGAATTAACAACAGAACACACATTGCAAAAGAAAAAAATATTGACCTTGATAATAGAAATTATGCAAAAATAAATGGAGAGAAAAGACTACATTAACATGAATGGAGTATCAGTGAGCTATGGCCAATTTCAAGAGGCCTGATTACGTATACATATATATTTGGAGTAGCCTGATTACATATATAAATTTGGAGTGACCAAAGGACAGAAGAGAGAAAAGGAGACAGAAAAATTTTGTTGAGGAAATAATAACAAAGCTGTTTTCAGGTGTTCTGAAATGAAGCATAACCACTAATACATGTATATTACAAGGGATATCTTTTAAATTAGAAGAGGTAAAAGAAAGAAAAGAGGAAAAATATTAGCCAATCTAAAAGCAGAGTAAAAGAAAAAGCAAAGACAAAAGTAACACAGGGCATGGAGAGTAAACATAGAAAACAAGACATACAAATTAAGATTGTAAAAATATGACCAAATATGTAAGTAACCACAACAAATGTGGATGGTTTAAATTCTCCTATTAAAAGTTAAAATCCTCAAAGAGTTAAAAAAATAAGCTATATCTTGTCTTTTAAAAATCTGTAGTTTCTTTGTAAAAGGTATACTTAAAATAAAGTGTCACAGAGAAGTTGAAGAGAGACAGACAATGATATACCAGGCAAATACTAACTAGTGGAAGGATGGACTGGGCAGCCAAGGAGGCAAGGGGTTCAGATTTCCCATCAATAGAAAACTTACCATTCACATGCAAGGAGTGCAATCAGCTGATGGCCTCCAGTTGCTAAGGCCTTCAGGATCCATTTCAGCTTTTGAGCTGAGGTCCTACACTTCCTAGACAATAACTAAACATTTTGCCACTTCTGCTCACGAAAGTTTCTTCTTAGAAATAATTGCTCCAGAGTTTCTCATAGGTTTGGCCAAGACTTTGACGGTTTTATATCTGGATCTGAGGCTCTTGTATCCTGCTTCCTCCCCTTTCTTTCACAGGTTTCATTCAGATCAGTGTCATGGTCTGAAGGCTTTCCCTCCCCTCCCCTACTTCCTGACCTTTTAATCTTTCACACATATAACCCCTCTCTCCCAAATACTTTACTGCTCCTAACTCCATCTCAGCTTCTGCTTCCTGGAAGACCTAACTGACACACCTGTTTTAGTTTCTAGATTTTTTTCTGATTCAGCAGATCTAAAGTGGATCTGGGGAATCTATATAATTTTTTATTTCCTCACATGATTCTCATGTTCAACCACATTTAGCACCCCTGTAGTAGAAGATTTTAATACATTTGTTTCCTGTACATCATAATTTATCATTTATAAACTAGCTTTAAGTTTTATTTACATGGCTGTTTTGACAAATATTATCCAGTTTAGATGTAAATAAAATTTTGCCTTTTTGTTTTTCCGTGATATTTAAACAGATATTTTTGAATCCAGTTAACTGTGAGTCTCATCCCACCCAGGGATGGATGAAGAATTTAGAAAAGGTCAAGGATAAGGTTTGATGTCTATTATGTGCACTGCTTATTAATATTTATATGGGGAAGCTTAATGGACTGTTTTTTGGGAATAGCCAAATGGTGTCAAAATGATTTGGTCAAACTCATGTAAATGTCATTAGATTAGTTCACCTCCAAAATAAACTAAGAATCTTTTTAATGATAAAGCCTAGTGTAGCCAAAAATTTCTGGAGAGGGGAAAATAGTGACAAAAGAGCTGCATGGCATAATTGAAGAATGAATGGATTTTCTTTTAATTTCTACTATGATAAAATATTTTTTATTATGTTCAGTTAGCCAACATATTGTACATCATTAGTTTTTGATGTGGAGTTCAATGATTCATTAGTTGCATATAACACCCACTGCTCATCACAACATGTGCCCATAACACGCATCACCTGGTTACCCCATTCCCCCCCCACCTCCCCTCCAGCAACCCTCAGTTTATTTCCCAGAGTCCAGAGTCTCTCAAGGTTTGTCTCCCTCTCTGATTTCTTCCCATTCAGTTTTCCCTCGCTGCCCCCTAAGATCCTCCACACTATTCCTTATGTTCCACATATGAGTGAAACCATGTGATAATTGTCTTTCTCTGTTTGCCTTATTTCACTTGGAATAATCGAAATTTTTAATGTTTTTCCTACAATGGAGAAGCAGACTGATTCTTTTCATAAGTCTTCACAAATAAAATATATTTTTATAATGCTAAAAACAAGTAATATACACATTCTTAATACTGCATTCCACAGAAAAATTGGGGGAAAGTCATGTCATCCCTTGACCATTCTCTTAGCACTGAGACCATATTTTATGGATACCCAAGTTCTTCATAATGCATATTCATCTGCTTTTATAGTCAAAGAACATCTGTTATTTGCTAAATTCCTCACAATAAAATGTACATCATAAAAATACACAATTTCAGTTTATCACATCTGCAAAACTGTTAGGCAGTAGCTATCAATACCTCTATAGTGATATAATGAGTTCAGAGAGCTAATTCCTCACATGTGTTCCATCTGTCTTACTCCTGCTCTTTCTCATAAACATGGCAGAAAATCATAAATCTGGTTTTATTGGTGTAATTCTTATTATAACTTTACATCACATTAGGTAATTGGTTGATTTAAAAAAAAAGTGGCAAATTGCAGAAAATAAAATAACAGTATATGGAAAGACACATTCAAACACAGTTGATGGGAGTGAAAATGGATACAATTTGAAATATCAGTCAAAATAAAAATGCACAAACCCTTTTGACCAGGTAATTCCACTCAGGGAAATTTTTTTACAAATATACTCAAATAAATACAAAGAGATCTATCCACAAGAAATATTCTATGTGTTATTGTTTATAATAGCAAAACAAACAAATAAATTCTCTAAATGTCCATCAATAGGTCTATGGTTAACTAATTATTACATAACCATACAAAGGAATTTTTTGTAACTATTGAATAAAACTGCTCTGCTTGTGTTGATAGAAGATCTTTAAGACATCATATTATTAGCTTTATGTAAGTACAGGACAGTATCATGGTATGTTCCTATTCATGTCTTGACAAGCATATGGGTATACATGTATAAGTAAATAGACTTATAAATGTACACACATACCTAGGCTATACAGGTATATGTACATAAAATTTTCTGGGAGAATATATAAAAGCTGTTGATGATTGTTCCTTCTACAGAGTTCCTTCTTGAGGAAACTCAGTTTTCATTATCAACTGTACTGAACAATTTGAATGTTTTATCATGAGCATATGCTTTCTTTGTATTAATATCAATTCTTCAATATCTAGCTAATAGCAGCTAACATTCTAAAGTTTTTCAATTGTATAAGGATATGAGTTAAAACCCTTTAAAACATCTCTGTCTTCTCAGAATCTTTGAAAAGCTAACCTCAAAATAGAGTTTCATGCTACAACTCTAAGGAAATCAAAATAGTAGCTGTGCTGTATCTTTATTCATTTGTCCTGCTGTTAGATTCCAGTAACTTATAAAAATCTATGGAGACACAGCCCATCAACTTCACTTTGTAAAACCTGAGACCTCTTCAGTTGCTCACAGTGTCATAGAGGGGATTGTTCTTCTCTGTGTAGCTGACATGGGGCTGCGTTTCATCCTAAGAAAAAAACTCAAAGTCAAAATTAATTCAAAAAATCCAGAAGTCATCAACTACCTATGTTTTTCTCAAAGTACAATTAGCTTTAGTATCTACCAAGAGTGCTTATATTTGTGTCTCTGGGCTTATATGGACACAAGAGAAAGACTTTTTTTCTATTATTTTGTCAAAAAAATTACTGATTACTTAAGTCTCAGGGTGAGATTATAAAGCCTGCTTGACAATAAAATGAAGTAATATGTGAGGTATTTCAAAGGAGAGGGTCAAAGACTTGGGAAGCTCCTGGTAATAAGAGATAATGGAGGAGGAGGAGACATAAATTTCGTCTGGTCCCAGGAATTCAGTGAGTTAGGGATCAAACCATTCTGAACACCTACAAACTCAACAGGAGATTGAAGAAAAGAACTCTCTAAACAGAAAAGCGACCACTTTCTGGAAGGTAGGACGTGCAGAGAAGTGAATCCGAGGCTATATTCGGGAAGATAGATGGCGGGGGAGGGAGCCTCCATCAGCCACTACTGGCAAGTGATAGAGCAGTGGAGCACAAATTAGAACTTTTAGAAGTCGGCTCTGCTGAGGGATGTAGCTCTAGTGGCTAAGCGGGGGGTGGAAGCCTCACTGGGACACTGTGGTCTCAGGACATTCAGGGTCACAGAAAGACTGGGGATGCCTAAGTGAGGCAGAGCTCTCAGGTATTGGAGCAGGGAAGCCAGCTTCAAAGACGGAGCCGGGGAGTGGGCTCTCAGCTCGGGGGTTGCCATAAACCATGATCTGCGGCACAGTCGGGCCACTGCTCTTCCAGCAGGGACCCAACAAGGGGCAGATCTGGGGAGACCCCCTTCCTCCCCCAGGGAGGAGTGGCACAGGAGTGCACTGCAGGAATCTGCTGGGTTTTGAGACTCCAAACAGGGTCGTGTGCCAGAGATAGAAACACTCGGTCACAGACCAGGTGAAAATGGAGTGCAGCCGGAGACCGGGGAGATGGGAGTGACTGACTGCTTTTCTCTGGGGGCTCACTGAGGAGCGGGGCCCTGAGTTCTCGGTTCTGCCGGGGCAGAGATTGGGAGGCTGCCATTTTCACTCTCGGCCTCCAAAGCTGTATGGAAAGCTTGCAGGGAACAAAAGCTACAAGAGCAAACCCGAGCAGATTACTTAGCCCGGCCCCTGGCAAGGGCGGGGCAATTCCGCCTCTGGCAAAGGCATTTGGGAACCACGCAACAGGCCCCTCCCCCAGAAGATCAGCAAGAACAGTCAGCCAAGATCAAGTTTGCCAATCAATGAGAATGGCAGAACTCCAGCACTAGGGGAGTATTGCACATAGAATTCATGGCTTTTTTCCCATGATTCTTTAGTCTTTTAAAGTTAATTTTTAAAATTTTCTTTGGTTCTTTTTCTATTTTTTTGGAATTTTTCTTTTTCCTTTTTTTAACCAACATCCTATCAATCCCTTTTATAAAAATCTTTTTTTATTTTTCATTTTTAGTCATATTCAATCCCTTCATTGTAGTTAACCTTATTTTTGGTATATATATAAGTTGTACTCTCTTTAAAATTTTGGGATCCAGTTTCTTCTTTTTTTTTTTAAAAGATTTTATTTATTTGACACAGAGATAGAGGCACAAGTAGGCAGAGGGAGAGGGAGAAGCAGGCTCTCTGCTGAGCAGGGAGCCGGACATGGGGCTCGATCCCGGGACCCCAGGATCATGACCTGAGCCGAAGGCAGCCACTTAACTGACTGAGCCACCCAGGCACCCTGGATCCAGTTTCTTCTAACAGACCAAAATATACCTGAAATCTCTAGTGTATGGCTTTGTTCTAGTCTCCTGCCTGATCAATTCTCTCCCTTTCTTTAAAAAAAATTTCTCTTCTTTCTTTTTTCAACCAACTTCTTATCTTATCAATTCCTTTTATAAAATCTTTTATAATTTTCATCTTTACAGTCATATTCCATCCCTTCATCATATTTACCCTTATTTTTGTACATATATAAGTTTTTCTTTCTTTAAAATTTTGGGAGGCACTTTCTTCTAACAAACCAAAATACGCCCAAAATCTGCTGTGTGTCACTGATATATTCAACAGCCTGATCATATTTGATCATATTCTTCTTTTTTTATCTTTTTCTTTTTTTTTTCTTTCTTTCCCTTTTCCCCCAGTTTTGGGTCTCTTCTGAATGGTTAGTGCATATTTTTCTGGGGTCATTGTTACCCTGTTAGCATTTTGTTCTCTCATTCAACTATTCTCCTCTGGACAAAATGACGAGAGACAAAAATTCACCTCAAAAAAAAAGAACAAGAGGCAGTACCTACTGCCGGGGACCTAATCAATATGGACATTAGTAAGATGTCAGAACTAGAGTTCAGAATGATGATTATAAAGATACTAGTTGGGCTTGAAAAAAGCATGGGAGATACTAGAGAAACCCTTTCTGAAGAAATAAAAGAACTAAAATCTAACTAAGTCTAAAACAAAAAGGCTATTAATGAGGTGCAATCAAAAATGGAGGCTCTAACTACTAGGAAAAATGAGGCAGAAGAGAGAATTAGTGATGTAGAAGACCAAATGATGGAAAATAAGGAAGCTGAGAAAAAGAGATAAACAACTACTGGATCACGAGGGCAGAATTTGAGAGATAAGTGATACCATAACACAAAACAATATTAAAATAATTGGGATCCCAGAGGAAGAAGAAGGAGAGAGAGGGGCCGAAGGAATACTGGAGCAAATTATAGCAGAGAACTTCCTTAATCTGGGGAAGGAAACAGGCATCAAGATCCAGGAGACACAGAGAACCCCCTCAAAATCAACAAAAATAGGTCAACACCCCGAAATCTAATAGTAAAACTTACGAGTCTCAGAGGAGAAGAGAAAATCCTGAAAGCAGCTCAGGAAAAAAGGTCTGTAACCTACAATGGTAGAAACATTAGATTGGCAAAAGACCTATTCACAGGGACCTGGCCGGCCAGAAAGGACTGGGATGATATATTCAGAGCACTAAACGAGAAAAATATGCAACCAAGAATACTATATCCAGCTAGGCTGTCACTGAAAATAGAAGGAGAGATAAAAAGCTTCCAGGACAAACAAAAACTTAAAGAATTTGCAAACACAAACCAGCCCTGCAAGAAATATTGATAGAGGTCCTCTAAGCAAAGAGAGAGCCTAAAAGTAACATAGACCAGAAAAGAACAGAGACAATATACAGTAACAGTCACCTTACAGGCAATACAATGGCATTAAATTCATATCTTTCAATAGTTACCCTGAATGTAAATGGGCTAAATGCCCCAATCAAAAGACACAAGGTATCAGATTGGATAAAAAAACAAGACCCATCGATATGCTGTCTGCAAGAGACTCATTTTAGATGCAAGGACACCTCCAGATTGAAAGTGAGGGGGTGGCAAACAATTTACCATGCTAATGGACACCAAAAGAAAGCTGGGGTGGCAATCCTTATACAGAAAAATTAGATTTTAAACCAGAGACTGTAATAAGAGATGAGGAAGGACACTATATCCTACTTAAAGGGTCTATCCAACAAGAAGATCTAACAATTGTAAATATCTATCCCCCTAACATGGGAGTAGCCAATTATATAAGCCAATTAATAACAGAATCAAAGAAACATATTGACAACAATACAATAATAGTAGGGGACTTTAACATCCCCCACACGGAAATGGGCAGATCATCTAAGCAAAAGATCAATAAGGAAATAAAAACTTTAAATGACATACTGGACCAAATGGATTTCACAGATATATTCAGAACATTCCATCCCAAAGCAACAGAATACACATTTTTCTCTAGTGCCTATGGATGATTCTCCAGAATAGATCACATCCTAGGTCACAAATCAGGTTTCAACTGGTACCAAAAGACTGGGATCATTCTCTGCATATTTTCGGATCACAGTGCTTTGAAACTAGAACTCAATCACCAGAGGAAAGTCAGAAAGAACTCAAATACCTGGAGACCAAACAGCATCCTACTAAAGAATGAATGGGTGGTATCTCATTGAAAAAAAAAAAAGACTGAATGGGTCAACCAGGAAATTAAGGAAGAATTTAAAAAATTCATGAAAACAAATGAAAATGAAAGCAGAACTGTTCAAAATCTTTGGGATGCAGCAAAGGCAGTCCTAAGAGGAAAGTATATAGCAATACAAGGCTTTTTCAAGAAACAAGAAAGGTCTCAAATACACAACCTAACCATACACCTAAAGGACCTGGAAAGAGAACAGCAAATAAAGCCTAAGTCCAGCAGGAGAAGAGAAATAATAAAGATCAGAGCAGAAATCAATGAAATAGAAACCAAAAGAACAGTAGAACAGATCAACGAAACTAGGAGCTGGTTCTTTGAAAGGATTAATAAGATTGATGGACCCCTGACCAGACTTACCAAAAAGAAAACAGAAAGGACCCAAATAAATAAAATCATGAATAAAAGAGGAGAGATCACAACCAACACTAAAGAAATACAAACTATTATAAGAACATATTATGAACAACTATATACTATCAAATTAGATAATCTGGAAGAAATGGATGCATTCCTAGAGATGTATCAACTACCAAACCTGAACCAGGAAGAAATAGAAAACCTGAACAGACCTATAACCACTAAGGAAATTGAAGCAGTCATCAAAAATCTCCCAAGAAACAAAAGCCCAGGGCCAGATGGCTTCCCAGGGGAATTCTATCAAACATTTCAAGAAGAATTAATACCTATTCTTCTGAAACTGTTCCAAAAAATAGAAATGGAAGGAAAACTTTCAAACTCATTTTATGAGGCCACCATTACCTTGATCCCAAAACCAGATAGACCCCATCAAGGAGAGCTACAGACCAATATCCCTGATGAACATGGATGCAAAAATTCTCACCAAAATACTAGCCAATAGAATCCAACAGTACGTTAAAAGGATCATTCACCACGACCAAGTGGGATTTATCCCTGGGCTGCAAGATTGGTTCAATATCCGCAAATCAATCAATGTGATACAATACATTAATAAAAGAAAGAACAAGAACCATATGATCCTCTCAATAGATGCAGAAAAAGCATTTGACAAAGTACAGCATCCGTTCTTGATTAAAGCTCTTCAGAGTGTAGGGATAGAGAATACATACCTCAATATCATAAAAGCCATCTATGAAAATCCCACAGTGAATATCATTCTCAATGGGGAAAAACTGAGAGTTTCCCCCTAAGGTCAGGAACATGGCAGGGATGTCCATTATCACCACTGCTATTCAACATAGTACTAGAAGTCCTAGCCACAGCAATCAGACAACAAAAAGAAATAAAAGGCATACGAATCAGCAAAGAAGAAGTCATGCTCTCACTCTTTGCAGATGATATGATACTTTATGTGGAAAACCCAAAAGACTCCACCCCAAAACTCTAGAACTCATACAGGAATTCAGTAAAGTGGCAGGATATAAAATCAATGCACAGAAATCAGTGGTATTCCTATACACCAACAACAAGACAGAAGAAAGAGAAATTAAGGAGTCGATCCCAATTACCATTGCACCCAAAACCATAAGATACCTAGGAATAAATCTAACCAAAGAGGCAAAGAATCTGTACTCAGAAAACTATAGAATACTCATGAAAGAAATTGAGGAAGACACAAAGAAATGGAAAAACGTTCCCTGCTCATGGATTGGAAGAACAAATATTATGAAGATGTCAATGCTACCTAGAGCAATCTGATGCAATCCCTATCAAAATACCATCCACTTTTTTCAAAGAAATGGAACAAATAATCCTAAAATGTGTATGGAACCAGAAAAGACCTCGAATAGCCAGAGGAATGTTGAAAAAGAAAAGCAAAGCTGGTGGCATCACAATTCCGTACTTCAAGTTCTATTACAAATCTGTCATCATCAAGACAGTATGGTACTGGCACAAAAACAGACACATAGATCAATGGAACAGAATAGAGAGCCCAGAAATGGACCCTCAACTCAATGGTCAACTAATCTTTGACAAAGCAGGAAAGAATGTCCAATGGAAAAAAAGACAGTCTCTTCAACAAATGGTGTTGGGAAAATTGGACAACCACATGCAGAAGAATGAAACTGGACCGTTTCCTTACACCACACACAAAAACAGACTCAACATGGTTGAAAAAACCTAAATGTGAGACAGGAATCCACCAAAATCCTAAAGGAGAACACAGAGAGCAACCTCTTCGACCTCAGCCGCCTCAACTTCTTCCTAGAAACATCACCAAAGGCAAGGGAAGGAAGGGCAAAAATGAACTATTGGGACTTCATCAAGATAAAAAGCTTTTGCAGAGCAAAAGAAACAGTCAACAAAACCAAAAGACAACCGACAGAATGGGAGAAGATATTTGTAAATGACATATCAGATAAACGTTTAGTATCCAAAATCTATAAAGACCTTCTTAAACTCAACACCCAAAGAACAAATGATCCAATCAAGAAATGGGCAGAAGGCATGAACAGACATTTTTCCAAAGAAGACATCCAAATAGCCAACAGACACATGAAAAAGTGCTCAACATCCCTTGGCATCAGGGAAATCCAAATCAAAACCTCAATGAGATATCACCTCACACCAGTCAGAATGGCTAAAATTAACAAGTCAGGAAACGAAATTGTTGGTGAGGATGCGGAGAAAGAGGAACCCTCCTACACTGCTGGTGGGAATGCAAGCTGGTGCAGCCACTCTGGAAAACAGTATGGAGGTTCCTCAAAAAGTTGAAAATAGAGCTACCATACGACCCACCAATTCCACTACTGGGTATTTACCCCAAAGAAACAAATGTAGTGATTCAAAGGGGTATGTGAACCCCAATGTTTATAGCAGCAATGTCCACAATACCCAAACTATGGAATGAGCCAAGATGTCCATCAACAGATGAATGGATAAAGATGTGGCATACACACACACACACACACACACACACACACACACACACACACAATGGAATATTATGCAACCATCAAAAAAACCCCCACGAAATCTTGCTATATGCAAAGACGTGGATGGAACTAGAGGGTATTATGCTAAGCGAAATAAGTCAATCAAAGAAAGAGATGTATCATATGTACTCACTGATATGAGGAGTTCTTAATCTCAGGAAACAAACTGAGGGTTGCTGGAGTGGTGGGGGGTGGGAGGGATGGGGTGGCTGGGTGATAGTCATTGGGGAGGGTATGTGCTATGGTGAGCGCTGTGAATAGTTTAAGACTGATGAATCACAGACCTGTACCTCTGAAACAAATAATACATTATATGTTAAAAAAAAAAAAAGATAATAGGAAGGGAAAAATGAAGGGGGGGGAATCAGAGGGAGAGACGAACCATGAGAGACGATGGACTTTGAGAAGAAACTGAGGATTCTAGAGGGGAGGGGGTGGGGGGATGGGTTAGCCCGCTGATGGGTATTAAAGAGGGCACATTCTGCATGGAGCACTGGGTGTTATATGAAAACAATGAATCATGGATCACTACATCAAAAACTAATGATGTAATGTATGTTGTTTAACATAACAAAATAAAAATTTAAAAAAAAGAGATAATGGAGCAGAAGAGGATTTAAGTGCAAGTAAGAGGGAAATAATGTTCGTATGGAGAAAGGGAAGTCAAGAATTAGAGATGGTTTCATGGGGGAGGAAAGGCCAATTCAGTTTCTCCAAACATTAGAGTCCAAATTTGGCAAATATTATGTGCTATATAGGATACAGTTCTTGAAATTACAATATTGTTCAGAATGTGTATAAGTAGTACATGGTAGATAATTCACAAAATAAGTACACCTGACTATTAGCATTATGAAATTAGAATATTTGCTTTTTAACTAAAATACTAATATGGATGCAAATTATAATTACATGGCTATATTTTGACATTTGCCTTGGGGTCTTTCTTTTGTTGTAAACACGAGGCTCTCTTTTAGCACTGAATTGTTGAAAACGCCGGCCAGATTCTAAAACTGGGGCTAGCCAGTTCTTCCTGATACTGGGTGAGTGTTTGGGGATGATTTCATTTCTGTGGATCCTTTCAGTTGAATTGTCAGCTCACCAACTGAGAATTTTAAGAGGGGAATTTTTTTTAAGTACTTTTTTGAATGAAATTTTTTGTAGTTATTGTATATGTACCAAGAAAGCTATAACTTAGGGTTTGGTTGTGTTTTTGTTTTTGTTTTGTTTTTTTCTTTTTTGGTTTTGTATTTTTTTTTAATGATTTGTTGATTTTTTTTTCTAACTTTACCAAAGTTTGCAGCTTTTACCTCAATAGAACAGGAATATTTTGAATCCCATAACTGCAGACAAACTGGAGCGATACTGTTTTAAAAGTTTTTCTTTTCTCCTTATTAGGTTTGTTAATGTATTAGGAAGAAACAACAAAATCCTGTGTACGCTTTTTCTAAAAAGTTCAGTATTCTTTGTCCAGGTTTTAGATTCTCAGAATAAATGCCTTTTACAGATGCAAAAAAAAAAGTTTGCAAAAATACTTTTTAATGTTATCTTACCTCCTCAACAACTTCAGTAGCTTCTTTTTTTTTAATTAACATTTTCTGCCCCCCCAAAAAATAAGCTGGAGTGAATGTAGAAAACATCATTATTTAATGAAAAATAGGAAAACAAAACAGTATACTATTGATATGTGTGGTTTATTTTTTATAGAAGCCATAGTAAATCAGAAATCGACCATCAGAAATAAGAATACTGCTTGCAGTTAATATATCTAAACAATATAATTCTGGATTTGGGGAAAGGAACCACAATTATGCAACAGAAGCCAGATATATGAAATAAATGTGGCACATCCTTTTTGGTACTTGAAATGAATTATTGTTATTCTTTTCTCAAATACAGATTAGCATACATTGTCTCTACCAAGATCTTGCCCTAAATGGCCTATTTCACTATGCTTGCATGCCTAAGTGACCAAGCAAAATCCGTCTTGTCATTTAGAGTCATCCAAATCTAACACCTCTAGGACATGCTTCTTGATTATGGGAGAGTTATTGTTAACACATTAATTATACCCCATTAACTCCATATACCTGGCCCCTTCCAGCCCAAGAAAGCTAAGAAAAGGCATCACTCAATACCTGCAGCAATCGATTTTCAAAAGCCAAATGGATCCCACAATGACCAAGGTAATCAAAATAGAGGAGGTGATAAATAGAATAGTTAAGTTTAGTGGTGATTGGTCACCTGTAAAAATAAACACAAAAATATATGGTTTATCTGTGGTGCATCCAGACAATGAAATATTACTTAGCACTAAAAAGAAATGAGCTATCAAGTCATGAAAAGACATGGAGGAAATTTAAATGCATATTACTCAGTGAAAGAAGCCAATCTGACACTGCTACATTCTGTATGATTCCAATTATATAAACATTCTGGAAAAGGCAAAACTATGGAGACAGTGTAAAGATCAGGGGTTGCTAGAGGTTAGGGTGGAGGGAGAGATGAGCAAGTGAGCATAGGGGACCTTTGGGACAGTGAAACTACTCTGTATGAAACTACAGTGGTGGATATATGCCACTTCTACGTTTGCTAAAACTCATAGAATGTACACCTAGAGTGAACCCTAATGTAAACTACAAACTTTGAGTGATAATATCGTGGTTTTTTTAATTTAATTTTATTATGTTATGTTAGTCACCATACAATACATCATTAGTTTTTGATGTGGTGTTCCATGATTCATTGTTTTCATACAACACCCAGTGCTCCATGCAGTATGTTCCCTCCTTAATACCCATCTCCGGGCTAACCCATCCCCCCACCCCCCTCCCCTCTAAAACCCTCAGTTTGTTTCTCAGAGTCCATCATCTCTCATGGTTTTTCTCTCCCTCCGATCTCCCCCCTCTTCATTTTTCCCTTCCTTCTCCTAATGTCCTCCATTCTATTCCTTAGGTTCCACAAATAAGTGAAACCATCTGATAATTGACTTTCTCTGCTTGACTTATTTCACTTAGCATCATCTCCTCCAGTCCCATCCATGTTGATGTAAAAGTTGGGTATTCATCCTTTCTGATGGCTGAGTAATATTCCATTGTATATAACCACATCTTCTTTATCCATTCATCTGTTGAAGGGTGTCTCAGCTCTTTCCACAGTTTGGCTATTGAGGACATTGCTGCTATGAACATTGGGGTGCATATGGCCCTTCTTTTCACTACATCTGTGTCTTTGGGGTAAATACCCAGGAGTGCAATTGCTGGGTCATAGGGTAGCTCTATTTTTAAATTTTTGAGGAACCGCCACACTGTTTTCCAAAGTAGCTACAGCAACTTGCATTCCCACCAACAGTGTAAGAGGGTTCCCCTTTCTCCACAACCTCTCCAACATTTGTTGTTTCTTTCCCTGTCCATTTTTGCCGTTCTAACTGGTGTAAGGTGGTATCTCAATGTGGTTTTGATTTGAATTTCCCTGATGGCTAATGATGATGAACATTTTTTCATGTGTCTGTAGCCATTGTATGTCTTCTTCAGAGAAGTGTCTGTTCATGTCTTCTGCCCGTGTTTTGACTTGATTATTTGTTTTTTGGATGTTGAGTTTGAGAAGTTCTTTATAGATCTTTGATACCAGCCCTTCATCTGTAGTGTCATTTGCAAATATCTTCTCCCGTTCTGTGGGTTGCCTCTTTGTTTTGTTGACTATTTCCGTTGCTGTGCAGAAGCTTTTTATCTTGATGAAGTCCCAAAAGTTCATTTTTGCTTTTGTTTCACTAGCTTTTGGAGATGTATCTTGAAAGAAGTTGCTGTGGCCGATGTCAAAGAGGTTATTGCCTATGTTCTCCTCTAGGATTTTGATGGATTCCTGTCTCACATTGAGGTCTTTCATCCATTTTGAGTTTATCTTTGTGTATGGTGTTACAGAATGGTTGAGTTTCATTCTTCTGCACGTGGCTGTCCAATTTTCTCAGCACCATTTATTGAAGAGACTGTCTTTTTTCCATTGCATATTTTCTCCTGCTTTGTGAAGATTATTTGACCATAGAGTTGAGGTTCCATATCTGGGTTCTCTATTCTGTTCCATTGGTCTATATGGTTGTTTTTGTGCCAGTAACATGAAGTATTAGTGATCACTGCTTTGTAATATAGCTTGAAATCAGGTAACATCATGCCCCCAGCTTTGTTTTTCCTTTTCCATTTCCTTGGTGATTCGGGGTCTTTTCTGATTCCATACAAATTTTAGGATTGTTTGTGGTCTGATAGATATCCAGGTCAATTCCGGGGGTCATTTGGAATAGGGTCCCCTACTCCTCCACCATCTTTTCCAAGTACCCCTGGTAACACAGCCTGGTAACAATGTTGTGTTAATGTAGGTTTATCAACTCTCACAAATGTACTGTACTGTAGCATGGGTGATGTAGAGAGAGGGGGAGACAGTGCTTGTGTTGGGACGGGGTAATATGGGAACTCTCTGAACTTTCCACTCAATTTTGCTGTGAACTTAAAACTTCTCTAAAAACTAAAGTCTATTAAATATATATATAACTGTAAAATAAAATATATGTTCAAGGATGTCTCAGAGTTCAGGAAGTTCACTTCTGTGATTTTAAACAGTTTTAATTCATTAATAGTTCAACTCATTATTATAATAAAATTGCTTTATTAATTCCAATTCTAGGGTATTTAGCAAGACATCATCCTAAGTCAAGGTTTTGTGGCTTTAAGGATTCATGAATGATGAATTCCTATAGGAGAGATGTGCAGACTAAATTTCTCAGTTACAGTAATATCAGGGTGTTTCTCATCTCCAATATTCAGAAATAAATGGGGAGTTGCAAAGGAGGTAATTGGAAAAACAACTGAATCCTGAAGTCACCTTTCTTCCAGGTCTTTGAAACTGACATGAGTGCATGGTAGCAACTTTCAATTATTTATTAACTCTGGCAGCAAAAAGAGATGTCAACAAAGGAATTGCCAGCTCTGAGAGGCACTGTTTGTTTGTTTAAATTCAATTTAGTTAACATATTCTGTATTATTAGATACAGGGGTAGAATTTAGTAATTCATCAGTTGCTTATAACATCCAGTTCTCATTACATAATGTGCCCTCCTAAATACCCCATTTTCCCACACACTTCCCCTCCAACAACCCTGAGTTTGTTTCCTAGCATTAGGAGTCTCTTATAGTTTGTCTCCATCTCTGTTTTCATCTTCATTTTTCCTTCCCTTCCCCTATGTTAATCTGTTTTGTTTCTTAAATTCCACATATGAGTGCAATCATATGGTATTTGTCTTTTTGACTGACTTATTTCGCTTAGCATAATATCCTCTAGTTCCATCTGTATCGTTGCAAGGGGCAAGATTTCATTCTTTTTGATGGCTGAGTGATATTCCACTATGTATATATATGCCACACCATCTTTATCCATTCATCTCTCAATGGACATCTGGGCTCTTTCCATACTTTGGCTGTTGTGGGCATTGCTGCTATAAACATTCTGGTGCATGTGCCCCTTTGAATTGCTATGTTTGTATCCTTTAGACAAATACCTAGTAGTGCAATTGCGGGATCATAAAGTAGCTCTATTTTTAACTTTTTGAGGAACCTCCATACTATTTTCCAGAGTGGCTGCAGCAGTTTTCATTCCCACCAACAGTGTAAGAGGGTTGCCCTTTCTCTGCATCCTCATCAACACCTGTTGTTTCCTGTGTTGTTAATTTTAGCCATTCTGACTGGTATGAGGTGGTATCTCATTATGGTTTTGATTTGTATTTCCCTGATGTGGAGTGATGTTGAGCACTTTTTTATGTGTCTGTTGGCCATTTTTATGTCTTTTTTGGAGAAATGTATGTTCATGTCTTCTGCCCATTTCTTGATTGGATTTTTTTGTTTTTTGGGTGTTGAGTTTCATAAGCTCTTTATAGATTTTGTATACTAGTCCTTTATCTGATAAATCATTTGCAAATATCACCTCCCCTTCTGGCAGTTGTCTTTTGGTTTTGTTGACTATTTCCTTTGCTGTGCAAAAACATTTTATCCTGATTAAGTTCCAGTAGTTCAGTTTTGTTTCCCTTGCCTTGGAGATGTGTCCAGGAAGAAGTTGCTGTGGCCAAGGTCAAAGAGGTTGCTATCTGTGTTCTCCTCTAGGATTTTAATGGATTCCTGTCTCACATTTAGGTCTTTCATCCATTTTAAGAGGCAGTGGTTCTAAGACCTTCTTCCTGCTGTGCCCTGAATGGGGCTGAGGGCAGCAGAGGGAAGTAAGTGGAGGCTAAGTAGGCTGGCATCCTGTCCCTTCACATTCCTTCAACAGTTTGTTTTTTAAACATTGTGTTTCTCTTTTATTTGAAAAAAAATTACATTTAAAACCAATAATATTGTTTTGAAACCCTTTCTTGCAAATTAATGCACTCTCTTTCTTTGGAAGTATAGCCATAGAGGCTGAGGATCTGCCCTGCAAGGAAGAGAGGGAGGTGACCCCAGCACTGGCTGAGAGTGAATGAGACAGTCCCTTCAAGTCTGAGCATCCATAAACATGACATCTTATTGTAATACTGGATAGTCAAATTGCATACATAAGTAAGGCACAGTTACTCTCCTCAGTAAATAATGCTAAAATCTTTTTTAAAAATCACTTTAATAATGGATATTAGAAAATGGTGGTTTAAAGAAATGGGTTTTTCTCCTCTCCCTTCTTAAACTTTACTAAATTATCAGTAGGAAAATTTTTTCCATATAGACTTGCAAAGACAAAGAACATGGATAAGATGAGCAGATAAAAATTTTCAACTTATTTTCAAACTATTTCAACTTATTTCATTTCATTATAAATGAAAAATGAACAGAAGGTGGCAAATAATTTAAGGTAGAAATAAGTAAGAATCTTGGTGCCCATAGAACACCAAGAAGACTTTAGAATAGGAAGGGTAAATATATAAAAAAGGGGCAAGTGGAGGGGGTGAACTGTGAGCTAAAAGTTGGAAGCTTCTTTGAAGGTCTGTATTAAGAAGAGGTAGGCTGCCAAGTCCACTCCCACCCTGTGCAGCCAGGTCACTTCACCTTCCTCAAACCGTAGGAAACAGGAAGTTTGACCAGAAAAGGTAAACTGCAGAGATTCCAGAGTCAAGGATCCAGACATAATGGAAGGTGGAGAGGAAGTACCACACTGAAGAGAGGTGTTAAAGAAAAGTCTGAGTTCTGAACAGTCTCTCTCTCTCTCTCTCTCTCTCTCTCTCACACACACACACA